CAGAGAAGCCATTGAAATCCATAAGCATGTGGATAATTTCAACAGAAAGGAGGAAGTTATTTATTTGTTGTGTCAGAAGCGAGTTGAGGGTGCAGCTAACATGTATTTAAAAACACAAACAAAAGTTTTAAAAGTTAGTATGCTCAATGTCCTTTGACCAGAAGCTGGCCACTTGGAGTGCCTCTGGTATTGCTATAAGAAGGTCCTCCATTGTGCATGTGGCAGAGCTCAGGTTGCATTGTAGTAAGCTGTCTGTGGTTTGCTCTTCTCCACACTCACATATCGCGGACTCCACTTAGTAGCCCCATTTCTTAAAGTTGGCTCTACATCTCGTGGTGCCAGAGCACAGCCTGTTCAGTGCCTTACAGGTCGCCCAGTATTTTGTGTGCCCAGGAGGGAGTCTCTCATCTGGTCTCAGCCACTGATTAAGGTGCTGGGTTTTAACCTGTCGATTTTGGATTCTCACTTGCTGAGGTGTTCCTGCGAGTATCTCCATAGATCTTAGAAGACTTTTTCTTGATTTAAGCCATTGGCCTGCTGGCTGATATCCAAACAGAGGATGGGCCTGAGATGTCAATACCTTGGTCCTTTCATTACAGGCTGCAACTTTCTGACAGATGTCAGGTAGTGCAACACCGGCTGAACAGTATAATTTCTCCAGCAGTGTGGTGTAGACACCCTGTGATAATGCAGCATGTCACATTAAGTGCCACATCCACTGTTTAAAGCAGTGAGATGTATTCCACACTGAGTATGTTTAGTTAGCAGCAGAGTGGCCAAGCACAAGGGCAGATGCCTTCACTGTGTCTGGTAGTGATCTCAATGTTGTGCCAGTCAGATTCCTTACAATGTTATTTCTAGCGCCCATTTTTTGCTTGTTAGTCAAGCAGTGCTTCCTTTTAGTCAGAGCACAGTCCAGATTGACTCCCAGGTATTTAGGTGTGCTATAATACTCCACTGGGATTCCTTCCCAGGTCATCCTCAGAGCTCGAGATGCTGGTCTGTTCTTAAGGTGAAAAGCACACTTCTGCATTTTAGATGGATTAGGAATCAGATAGTTTTTCCTATAATAGGCAGTAGGAACACCTAAAGCTTCGGATAGCTTCTGTTCAACCATCTCAAAGCTCCCTTCTTGAGCGATGATGGCACGATCGTCAGCATAGATGAAACTCTCATGCAGTGGCTGGTCATTTGTGTAAATGTTAAACACTGATGGAGCAAGCATGTTCCCCTAAGGCAGGCCATTCTTCTGTTTTCACCATCTGCTTCTCTGGCCCTAGAATTCAACAAAAAAGCTCCTGTTTTGTAGCAGATTTCCTATGAAGTGGGTGAGGTGGTATTCCTTTGTGATATTGTACATTTTTCTCAGGAGAAAGCTATGATTTACAGTATTATATGCTACTGACAGGTCTATGAAGAGAGTGCCTGTAATCTGTTGCCTTTCAAAACCATCTTCTATGTGCTGAGTGAGCTTCAGCACGTGATGTGCAACTTCAAACTCAGCCCCCCCCCCCCCGAATCAAAATCAGGCCCATAGCCAGGATTTTGATTCGGGGGGGGGGGGGGCTGAGTCTGAGTTAAAGGGGGTCTACCCTAGCAAACCTTTCATATCGTTACCCCAAATACCCCCATGCATATGAGATATATTGAGCATGGTGATCAGATCATGATATGAATAAACATAACAGTTTAAATAATGTACAAGTAAGGCCTTTTCGCAGACCACCATGAGAATTTCGGGGGGGGGGGGGGCTGAGTCTGAGTTAAAGGGGGTCTACCCTAGCAAACCTTTCATATCGTTACCCCAAATACCCCCATGCATATGAGATATATTGAGCATGGTGATCAGATCATGATATGAATAAACATAACAGTTTAAATAATGTACAAGTAAGGCCTTTTCGCAGACCACCATGAGAATTTCGGGGGGGGGGCTGAAGCCCCCTGAGCCCCCCCCCCACTACATACCTGACCTGGTGTTTCTTTTCTGCAGGATTAAATTAATTAACCCTCTGGCTTTTATGTTAGTCACTTACTAACAACCTAAGCCTCCCCTCCATACCTGTAAGGACTCCAGCCGAACTGGCGATGGTTCATAGAAGCCCATGGTTGTCTGGCAGGCACTGTCACTGTCCAAGCAGCCTTCCTCCCTGGGCAGAATGACCAGAGACATGCAGAGGTGGAGAAGCCAACAGGGCTCTTCATTGCCATTCTCTGGCATCAAAAGGGGCTGCCCTGGGCCATCGCTATGGCACTCAGGTCCCCCAGGTGTGCTGGATGCACCTTCACCAAGTCCAGATGAACCAGTCTGCTGCAAAAGGAGGCGCACTTCTGGCAAAGGGGCTTGAGTAGAAACTATGGCACCGAGCAATGTCAGACTTGACACTCGAACATTGACATCTAGTCGAAAGAAAGGTTGAGAAAGTTAGATAGTGATAGGAAGCAAATCAACAAATTTGAAATGCCTTACTGGAGGAGAATTCAGCAGATAGCAAATCGTAGTAGTTCCAAACATTGTTACCAATATGTTTGCATGGAAACATACCGGCATGTTTACACATACTGCCCAAAGACCAAAATTTATACAATACAACAAAAAACCTCTTCATACCTTTGTGTCGAATGTACGGCTTGATCTGGTTCCAGACTTTTGTCAGCAGCCCAGGCTTTAAACGGCTGTATGGCACATTCAGCACCAGATTGGCAAGGCACTGTTAAAAGACCAACATTTTTTTATCAAAACTTGTTTAATTCCTGGGATTAATTTCACAAGCTCATCTAATATCCCAGATAAATGGTGACCAAAATGATCAAAGGTTTGGAAATCAAGCACTATGAGGAATGGTCGAGGGAGCTGAGGATGTTTATCTTGGAGAAGAGAATGTTGAGAGGAGACATGAGAGGTATGTGTTTACGTATTATTACATTACATTACATTCTATACACACACATACATGTTTTCACTTTTATTCTTTTATTCGACTTACACAGACAGGCTCCTGCCTCCAGAAACAGCTATAGCTTCCACTACTCAAGAAACACCAAAGACCCTCCCTCCAATGTAATGATACGTAAACATGTACATGAGCCCTGCTAATGTCCTCCAAAAACACAATACTGCCCACTACCCAAGTGAAGGCTTTAATCCAGGGACAATTTCATCCTAGATTTTATGTGTTTCCTCCACCACAACATCCCAGTTTTTCTGACTCTCTCAATTGGAGTGGAATTTGCACAATCCCACCCGCTGCCTCTCCCTTAACCCTTTCCTAGGGCGCACACATACTGAGAGGAATTGATCAGCAACTGAACATACTGCAGAGGTCTGGGAAACTGACTCAACATGATGGAAGTTGTAGTTCCCCTGGATCAAGGCACAGCTCTGTGACCCCCAACGACAATGGACCTGGACCACATTGGTACGCAGAACCGCCATGACCAATGCAAAATACTGGAGAGTTTTGGTGAGAATTCACTAAGATTTATAGGAGTTGTAGGCACTGGGATGTATAGTTCACCTGCACTCAAAGATCACTCTGAACTTCACCAGCAATGGATCCGGAACTAACTTGGCACACAGAAGACCCGTGATTAACAAAAAACACTGGAGGTCTCTGGAGGGATTTGTAGGAGTTGTAGTTCGTCTACATCCAGAGCACACTGTGAACCCAAACACTGATGGATCTGGACCAAACATGCACACCCAATATGCCCAAATTTGAATACTGGTAGATTTTGAGGCAAATTGGCCTGGACATTTTGGAGTTGTAGGTCCTGAGATTTATAGTTCACTACAGTTAAGGAGCACTCTGAACTCCACCAAAGCTGGAATTGTACCAAACTTGGTACACAGAGCCCCCATGACTAGCAAAAAATACTGGAGGTCTTTGGGGAAAATTCACCTTGATTTGGGGGAGTTGTAGTTCACTTACACCCAGAGAACACTGTGTTCCCAAACACTGATGGATCTGGACCAAATTTGGCATGCATACCTGGTATGCCGAAATATGATTACTGGAGGGGTTTGGGGAAAACTGACCTTCTTTTCTGTGAGTTGTAGTTCACCCACAACCAGAAAAATTGTGACCTCCACCAGTGATGGACCTGGAGCAAACTTGGCACACAGAACTCAACCTACTGGAGGGATTTGAGGGGACTGACTCACCATAGTGGGAGTTGTAGTTTACTCTACAGAGAGCACACAGTAACCCACTGACAATGCATCTAGAGCAAACATAACAAATGTTAAGTACTAAGGGAGATTTTTCGGGTTAACCTGGCATGATGTGAGTTGCAGTTCACCCACAACCTTAGGCATTTTGTACAATTAAAAATGGACTTTTTTAAATTAACCTGGGCACTGCCAGATCCCCAAGCTAGTGTTTAAATATTTGAAAGGAGGTCACATTAAGGAGGGGGGAAACTTGATTTCTGTTGCTCTGGAGATTAGGGCATAATGTAGCCATGAAGCCAAATTGCAGGAAAGAAGATTCCACCTCAATGTTAGAAAGAATTTCCTAACAGGAAGAGCTGTTTGGCAGTGGGATATGCTTCCTGGGAGAATGTTGAAGACTCCTTCTCTGGAAGCTTACAAGCAGAGGCTAGATGGCCAGCTTTTGGGGGGTACTTTGGATCTATATTCTTGCCTGACTGAAGGGGTTTGGGCTAGATAACCTTTTGGGTGTCTTCCAACTCTATGATTCTATGATTGAAACCAATTAAGCCCTTGCACAATCTTTATAGATTGAGTATCTTGCAAGTAACTAGCACAAATACTAGCTTATCCAACATAAACGGGCCGGAAGAATGTTGGATTAGCAAAAATGTCGGATAATAAGGAGGGATTAAGGAAAAGCCTATTAAATGTCAAATTACGTTATGATTTTACTAATTAAGCATCAAAACATCATGTTTTACAACAAATTGACAAAAAAGCAGTTCAATACATGGTAACATTATATAGTAATTACCATATTTACAAATTTAGCACCAAAACATCACAATGTATTGAAGCAGCTGGATGGGAGGCAGACTGTGTTGGATAATACAGAACACTGGATGAGTGAAGGTTGGATAAGTGAGACTCTACTGTACTTCTAGCAGCCTTAGCAGTTAAGGCTGATTTAGGTGTGACATATGAATTACAGCCTGACAATTGCGAACTCTCAAGCTGTGAAGAAAACCACAATTTGTCCCAAGAATCTCTTCCAAGGATTCCAACTGGCTCGAAATAGTGCAAAATATCCCTCAAGTTTTGGTAGAACTTGCATGAATGAAAATAGCAATTCTGGAACTCAAGTTCTTTGTGAGGCAAGTATTACTTTGCAGGCCCAAGTAATAGCATAAATAAATGCTGTTTATACCTTAATGATCTGGGTGAGGGTCTGGGAAGAGGACTCAGCGACTAAAGCCAACAGCAGGCAGCGATGAAGCTCTCGGATGCTGGTGGCCAGAGTAAACGAGAATGGTGTGAAGGCTCTCTTGTGGTCACCCACATCCTCTGCAATGCAAAGAAACTGTTTGGAGCCTTCCAAGATGGCCGAGAGAACCTGGAGAGCACAAGCTCGGGTCTGCAGCAGAAAGAAAGGACGTTCCTAGCTCAGAGGAAGGCAAGTTCTCTTTAGGAACACCCTAAGTCAGAAATAGCTTGAAAGCACACAACAACAACAACAACAACAACAAGGAGTCAGTATCAGATTCAAGGAAATGATTCTTAACCAAGATCATGTCTCTCAGAAAAAACAGTATCACGCAACACCAGACCTTGGAACTTTACTTTTGTTACAGTCACATCTTCCAGAAAGAGCAACTTCTTATGCTGCTCATTGGTAACATATTGACTTTTTTTTTACATCCACGGCTATATTAAAATGCGAAACAATGTTTATTTATTTATTTATTTGTGACATTTATATGCCGCCCTTCTCACCCCGAAGGGGACTCAGAGCGGCTTACAAGTAAAAAGTAAATACAATATATTATTATCATAGCACAATATTAATATTATATATTACATTGTACTATAACATTATCCTGTAATATTATTAGTAATATTACATTTACTATGAGAGCGATTTCCTGAACTTGCTAACTTTCACCGAGATCTTTGCCCTTATTAAAAAGAGGCTGCTAAAAAAGGACCATAACCAATTGTTGAGCTTGGCCAATAAATCCTGTTCACCTATGAACATGGCAATTCCATTCATACAGGGAAATCCAGCCTTTTATATTGCAGCATTCACTAACCTCTCTTACAGGAGAGCCTACATGCTGGCTAGATTTAATATTATGCCATCTCTGCTCCATACAGGAAGATTCAACAGTCTACCAAGCAATAAGAGGCTTTGTCCCTGTAGCACAGGACAGCTGGATTCCATCCAGCATCTTCTTCTGCACAGCTCACTTCACCAGGATCTAAGATCGAGCTTACTACCACACATTATAGATTCCTTGAAAAACCTCAGTGACTCAGACAAAGTAATTATGCTTTTAAATTTTCACGATTTTAACTGCTGCCTTTCAGTGGCAAGATTCCTGAATGAAGTCTGTAAACTGAATGTGTAGCAAATGTGAAGTTCCCTTTTCTATGGTTTGTACTGTATTTTATACCTCTTTGGTATGTATATGGATTGGAAATCTGGATGCCAACCTTTGCACCAGTTGCAGTTTCTGGGCTGTCTTCAAAGAATGCATTGCAGCAATCCAATCTGGATGTAATTAAGGTGTGGACCACTGCGACCAAGTCAGGCTTCTCGAGGTATGGCTGCAGCTGGCGCACCAGTTTTAGCTGTGCAAAGTTTCTCCCAGCCACTGCGAACACCTAAGCATCAAGTACTGAATTGAGAAGGACCCCAGACTGCGGACCCATGTTCTCAGGGGAATGTAACCTTGTCGAACACAGGTTGCCACACTATGCTTCGATCGGCTTCATGACTGACCAAAAGACCTCCGCCTTGTCTGGATGAAGCTTTAACAAGAAAACAATAGCAGGGGGCATGCACTTACCTTTGGAGAAGGGTCTTTTAAGGCAATAGTAATCAAGGATACCGACTGGGGGCTTCCAATTCCAGGTACGTCAGGAATAAACGCCGACCAATAGCCAAAAAGGACTTTCTTCTCTATAGACTTCACAGTAGAAAGGAAGCAGGTCAGAGCCCCTTGGCGAACCTTTGCTTGGAAGGACCTTGCGTGAAACGAAGATGACACAAAATAATTAATTGGCTCAGTATCAGAATCAATATCTTACAAGCCTGCCATCTTAGTAGAAGACTAGCTGTCCCCTGCCACGTGTTGCTGTGGCCCAGTCTGGTGATCTGGAAAATAATGAGAAAGTGTTGGTTTCTAATATAAGTAATTTCTTTATGCTTGTGGGTAAACAGTATTTCTTGCTGTTTCTTTGCCAGTGTTGATGTGGAGATTGTCTGGTTTCCCTTTCAAATCTATGATATTATATCTGTGTGTGTGTATGAATCATATATGCGTGGATGGCTCTTTGTCAGGAGGGCTTTGATTACGTTTTCTTGCCCTGGTGAAGGGAGTTGGATTAGATGGCCTTGAGTATTTTGGGTTGGTCATGGGGGTACAGTGTGGGAAGTTTGGCCCAATTCTGTCGTTGGTGGGGTTCAGAACGCTCTTTAGTTGTAGGTGAACTATAAAGCCCAGTAACCACAACTCCCAAATGTCAAGGTCTATTTCCCCCAAACTCCATCTGTGTTCATATTTGGGCATATGGAATATTCGTGCCAAGTTTGGTCCAGATCCATCATTGTTTGAGTCCACAGTGCTCTCTGGATGTAGGTGAACTACAACTCCCAAACTCAAGGTCAATGCTCATCAAACCCTTCTACTGTTTTCTGTTGGTCATGGGAGTCCCGTATGCCTCGGTTGGTTCAATTCTATCATGCTATTTGATTGTAGGTGAACTATAAATCCCAGCAACTACAACTCCCAATCTATCTATCTATATCTATGGCTGGATGGCTCTTCGTCAGGAGGACTTTGATTACATTTTCTTGCCCTGATGAAGGGAGTTGGATTGGATGGCCTTAAATATTTTCTGTTGGTCATGGGGGCTCTGTGTGGGAAGTTTGCCCTGATTCTGTCGTTTGTGGGGTTCAGAATGCTATTTGATTGTAGGTGAACTGTGAATCCCAGTGACTACAACTCCCAAATGGCAAGGTCTATTTCCCCCAAACTCCATTCATATTTGGGCGTACTGAGTGCTTGTGCCAAGTCTGGTCCAGATCCATCATTGTTTGAGTCCATAGTGCTCTCTGGATGTAGGTGAACTACAACTCCCAAACTCAAGGTCAATGCCCACCAAACCCTTCCAGTATTTTCTGTTGGTCATGGGAGTTTGGTTTGGTTCAATTCCATCGTTGATGGAGTTCAGAATGCTCTTTGATTGTAGGTGAACTATAAATCCCAACAACTACAACTCCCAAATGACAAAATCATAATTTTTGAGTAATGGTCACTCTTTGTGTTGTGAGATGTTTTGTTGCCAAATTTGGTGTGATTTTGTTCATTGGTTCTTTTGTTTTTAAGGTACTCATTATGCACAGAGCATTTTTATATATATAGAAAGTTGAGGAAACTCCAGATACTTGTGGACTCCCATTATTACAAGCCACTGGCCATAAAAGTGGACACTCGAAATACTGGGTGCCATGTATAGGAGAAGGACACTGAGGACGTCTTTGTAACAAACCTTGTTTTGCTTTGCATGCCGCCTTCAGTATCGGAATACTCTGAGTCACTGCTGCTGATTCTTTTCCAGCCCAGAGTGCAGAAAGGCAGGTGGGCCTTTGCAAAGGTTGGGCGAGGGTTGGAGAGATCTGGACTAGGATTGTACTGCTTGTCTCCATGGCAACTTGAGTCCCTTGTTCCGCCTCCTTCGCTCTCGTCTTCTTCTACCAGCTCTCCTTTTTGCTTTCCCTTGGGCTTTTTCCTCCTGGACTGCTTTTGGGAGGAAGAATTGTCAGAAATATTAAAAAATTAACTAGATATTTATTATTACACAAATGTGAGTCAAGCACTGAAAGGGTTAAATGGATGTTATGTCTCAGCAAAAGCTGCAGTTCCATATAAGCAGGCGTGTCTATAGCTTAGTAGGCCTCTGTGTTAGTTTACCTCAGTGGGAAAAAGATCTCAGTCTGTGAGAAGGCCTGACAGTGTGAGGTAGGCCTTAGCCTGTGAGAGAAGGCCTCACACTGTGTGAGGTAACCCTTGGTAAAAGAAGGCCTCGTTTGTGAAGCTCCAGTGTGAAGGTTGAACTTTATTTCTGTCGTGGAAACTTTATTCTTGTAAATAGTGCAACCCCAAATTGGGAAGCAAGTCGTCCAGGAATACCTGGCCGCTCTAAATGAGTTCAAGTTCCCAGGGCCAGATCAACTCCACCCAAGAGTATTGAAGGAACTAGCAGAAGTCATCTCGGAACCATTGGCAACCATCTTTGAGAGTTCTTGGAGAACAGGAGAAGTCCCATCAGATTGGAGGAGGGCCAATGTGGTCCCAATCTTCACAAAGGGAAAAAAGGATGACCCAAACAATTACTCACGTCGATACCAGGCAAAATTCTGGTAAAGATTGTTAAGGAAGTGGTCTTAAAACACTTAGAAAGAAATGCGGTCATTGCTAATAGTCAACATGGATTTATCAAAAACAAGTCATGCCAGACTCATCTTATCTCTTTTTTCGATAGTTACAAGCTGGGTAGATGCGGGGAATGCCGTGGATGTGGCGTACCTGGATTTCAGTAAGGCCTTAGGACAAGGTCCTCCATGACCTTCTGGCAAACAAACTAGTCCAATGTGGGCTAAGAAAAACTACTGTGAGGTGGATCTGTAATTGGTTAAATGAACGAACCCAGAGGGTCATTCTCACCAATGTTTCTTCTTCATCCTGGAAAGAAGTGACGAGCGGAGTGCCATCAGGAGGGTTCTGTCCTCCTTGGGCCCGGTCTTGTTCAAGATCTTTATTAATGACTTAGATGGAGGCTTAGAAGGCATGATCATCAAGTTTGCAGACAACACCAAATTGGGAGGGAGAGCTTTGGCTCCAGAGGACAGGAGCAGGATTCAAAACGATCTTGACATATTAGAGAGATGGGCCAAAACTAACACAATGAAGTTCAACAGGGACAAATGCAAGATACTCCACTTTGGCAGGAAAAACGAAATGCAAAGATACAGAATGGGGGACGCCTGGCTCAAGAGCAGGACGTGTGAAAAAGATCTTGGAGTCCTCATGGGGAACAAGTTAAACATGAGCCAACAATGTCATGTGGTGGCAAAAAAATCCAATGGGATTTTGGCCTGCATCAATAGGAGAAAAGTGTCTAGATCCAGGGAAGTGATGCTCCCCATGCTCTATTCTGCCTTGGTTAGACCACACCTGGAATATTGTGTCCAATTCTGGGCACCACAATTCAAGAGAGATGTTGACAAGCTGGAATGTGTCCAGAGGAGGGCGACTAAAATGGTCAAGTGTCTGGAGAACAAGCCCTATGAAGAACGGCTTAAAGAGCTGGGCATGTTTAGCCCGAAGAAGAGAAGGCTGAGAGGAGACATGATAGCCATGTATAAATATGTGAGAGGAAGTCACAGGGAGGAAGAAGCAAGCTTGTTTTCTGCTTCCCGAGAGACTAGGACACGGAACAATGGCTTTAAACTACAAGAAAGGAGATTTCATCTGAACATGAGGAAGAACTTCCTGACTGTGAGAGCTGTTCAGCAGTGGAACTCTCTGCCCCGGAGTGTGGTGAAAGCTGCTTCTTTGGAGGCTTTTAAACAGAGGCTGGATGGCCATCTGTCAGGGAGCTTTGAATGCAATATTCCTGCTTCTTGGCAGGGGGTTGGACTGGATGGCCCATGAGGTGTCTTCCAACTCTATGATTCTATGATATTATTTTGCTACAAAGAAAAGCCTCCTTTTCCCGGAGAGACACATCAAGGACAAGGTGAGAACGGTTATCGACCTAATAGAATTCTATTAGAATTCTATGAGACCAACCACCAAAAAGAAATAGCCTTTCTCCCGCTGGATGCTGAGAAGGCTTTCAATAACCTTAACTGGGATTTTTTTTAAACTCCTAATAGAGGAAGTCGACATTGGTTTTCATTTCAACAATGTAATCAAAGCAATATACGAAACACAAAATGCAAAATTATGGATTAACGGCCAACTGACGAAGAGCTTTCAAATACTAAAAGGCACAAGACAAGGATGCCCCCTCTCGCCCTTAATTTTTATCCTTTCCATTGAGATCCTAATGAGAAACATAAGGACAGACCAGGAATTATTAGGAACAAAGGTAGGAAAACAAACCTACAAAATAAAAGCTTTTGCAGACGACCTGATATGCTTTGTAGAAGAACCGAGAGATAACATCAGAAAATGGATAAATAAAATTGAAGAGTTCGGCAATCTGGACGGTCTCAAAATAAATAAGAAAAAAACAATGATACTAACGAAAAATGTCTCCAAAATAAATCAAGAGAAACTAGAGAAAATAACTGACATGAAAACTTCAACCAAAATCAAATATCTCGGAATCCAAATAACAGCTAAAAACTCCCAATTATTGAAAAATAACTATGAAACACTGTGGTCGGATATCAAGAAAGATCTATCCTCCTGGAAAAATTTAAAACTATCACTATTGGGTAGGATTGCAATAATCAAAATGAACATATTGCCAAGATTCTTATACCTGTTCCAAACCATATCAATCATTAGAAACAACAAAACATTTGAAAAATGGAACAAAGACATCCTACAATTTGTATGGGAAGGGAAAAGGCCTAGAATAAAACTCAAACACCTGATAGACAGCAAAAAAAAGAGGAGGTTTCAGCCTGCCAGACCTCAGACTATACTTCGAAGCTTGCGGGTTATCTTGGCTAAAAGATTGGATTACACTTAAAAGAGAGAAATTTTTAGTCCTGGAAGGGTTCGACTTAAGAGTCGGATGGCACGGTTATCTCTGGTATGAGAAGACAAAAATAGAGAAGAACTTCAAAAATCATTTTGTAAGAGCAGCACTGATTAGGATATGGGAAAAATACAAGAATCTCTTTTATACAAAAACATCTACTTGGATCTCACCCCTAGAAGTGAGCCAAAGGAGATTACTAGGTTGGTCGGAATGGCCAATATACAGCGATTTGTTAACGAAGAAAGAAGGGAAAATACAACTAAAATCACGAGAGGAGATAACATCTCAACATAAAAACATATCCTGGTTCCAATATTTGCAAATCAAAGAACATTTCAGCAAAGATTCAAAGATAGGATTCACAGACAAGGACGACTTTTGGGAACACCTGATAAAGAACGGAAAGAAAATCATAACTAAGATTTATTCAAAACTACTAGAATGGTCCACTGAGACCGAACTAATAAAGGAATGCATTATCAAGTGGGCCAGAAACATTGGAAGACCGATAAACCTAAGAGAATGGGAACAAGCATGGAAATTGAAACTAAAATACACATATTCATCTGACTTGAAAGAGAACTGATACAAAATGTTCTTTCGATGGCACATGACCCCACAGAAGCTCGGCCTAATGTCCAAAAACATCCAAAATAAATGCTGGAAGTGCCAAACCCAGATGGGAACATTCTACCACATGTGGTGGTCATGTCCCAAAGCTAGAAAATATTGGAAAACAATACAGGAAGCCTCTCAGAAGATACTTCAAACAACAATACAATTAACGCCAGAATATTTCCTCCTCGGCATTACAGACGAAGACATACCGTTCGAAAAAAATAAAGACAAGCTATTCACATTCCTGACAACAGCAGCAAGGATCGTATACGCTAAGAAGTGGAAACTAAAGGAACTGCCAACCAAAGAAGATAGGGAAGCTAACGTATCCGAAATAATGGATATGGACTTATTAACATATTACCTTAAAGACCCGGAGGGCAAACCAATAAACCCAACAGACTGGTCCCTTTACAAAAATTACAAGGAATCACAACGAAGCCCACGAAGACTTGCTACTTCTAAGTGAGAATCCGTGCCAGACTCTTTTTTCGGTAGAGTTACAAGTTGATTAGGAACGCTGTGGATGCAGCGTATCTGGATTTCAGGAAGGCCTTCCTTCGGCAAGTTCCCCATGACCTTCTGGCAAGGAAACGAGTCCAATGTGGGCAAGGCAAAATTACAGTTAGGGAGATCTGTAATTGGTTAAGCTGACGAACCCAGAGGGTGATTCTCCCCAATGCTTCCTCTTCATCCTGGAAAGAAGTGATGAGCGGAATGCCATCACTTGTGCCATGTCCTGGGACCATGAGATGAGATGAAAGACCATTAGTGCCATCACTTGTGCCATGTCCTGGGACCTGAGATGAAGGGATAGAAGGCACGATCACCAAGTCTGCAGATGGGACCAAATGGGGAGGGAGAGCCAATAGTCCAGAAGACCAGAGCAGAACTCAAAACGATCTTCACAGATTATAGAGATGGGCCAAAACTAACAAAAAGAAGTTCAACAGAGACAAATGGAAGAGACTCCACTTAGGCAGAAAAAAACAAAATGCAGAGACAGAATGGAGGACGATGCCTGGCTCGACAGCAGGACATTTGGAAAAGATCTTGGAGTCCTCGTAGACAGGAAGGCGAACATCAGCCCACAATGTCATGTGGCAGCTAAAAAAGCCAATGGGATTTTGGCCTGTATCAATAGGAGTTTAGTGCCTAGATCCAGGGAAGTCATACCCCAGAATGCAGTGGAGGCTCCTTCTTTGGAGGCTTTGAAACAGAGGCTGAATGGCCATCTGTTGTGAGTGCTTTGTATGCAATTTTCTTGCTTCTTGGCAGAATGGGGTTGGACTGGATGGCCCACGAGGTCTCTTCCAACTCTATGATTCTATGAAAAGCAAGAGCTCCACAAGTATACATACACATTAGACTACTTTTATGCTAGCTTTACAGTTCAAATAAAATATACAAGAACTGAAGTCAATGCGAAGGTTTACCCCATTCACTTTAGTGCTGTTCAGTTCCAATTTCTCCTGTGTCCCGGGTGACCTGCTGTCATACTGAGAAAGAACTGCAGGGTATAAGATGGACGGCATTTCGATGTTCAGTCCAGGAAGTCCGTAGAACATACACTTCTAGAGTCAGCAATTTTAAAAAAATCAGAATATTTAGTTGTTTGGGGCATTATTTGGCAGATTTAAATTAAAAAAAAACTTTTCTTCATCAACACTATGTTCATGCATCGCTAAACTCCCTTCCCAGTTCATTCAGGTCCTATCTATTGTATATTAGAAGCTATCAGCTTTGCTACTCTGAAATGTTTTAAGATGTATTGTATCAGTTTTACTGTACGGTGCTTTGTGTCTCCTTTTTGGAGAGAAAATGAGGAGGGGGGGACAACAACAATCGTAGTAGTAATAATAATAATATGTCATCTGAGATTTTTGTAAATGTCAGTCAGATGTATCTAAAAGAGAAGGGGGAGCATGCATGTCTACAGGAAAATTAGACTCATTCCTGTAAAAGACAGGACGATTACTAAACATGAATAGAGAAATCCAGTTCAAGAACATAGCTGTGTTCCAAAAGCTAAGAATAAAACTGGAGAGTGTTGGGAGACAAGCACACAATATTTTCTGTGTTATTTACTCCCATGGCCAAAAAAATTAACTTCCTTTATGAAAGAAAGGTCAAATTTCCATTTGAAATCTGAAAAGGTCACCTTTAACACAGCAAGAAGGGAACCAAGCTGATCCGGCTGTTTTAATTTCATCTTTCCCCCGTTTAAGAGTGACTGGATTCCTTTCAAGGCATTCTGTAACAACTGGAGAGGAAACAAAAGGCAACAGCAGCATTCACTCCTCTCTCCATCAACTTGGCATCCTCTGAAGTAAACACTTAAGATGGTTAAAATCAATAGGTAGTGATTTCCCAAATGAACCAAAGCTGGACAATTCCTACAAGGTAACAACCAAAACTTGAGTAACGAATTCAGCATGCAGTTTTGGCCAAACAAATAGTTTTTGTTCAATGTGTTGTCAAACGCTTTCATGGCCTGGGTTGCTGTGAGTTTTCCAGGCTGTCTGGCCATGTTCCAAAGTCATTTTCTCCTGATGTTTCACCCGCAATCTATGGCAGGCATCCTCAGAAGTTGTGAAGTCTGTTGGAATCTAGGCAAATGGGGTTAATATATCTGCATATTCTTTCTTTCCCACAGGGCTATCCAGCATGAAAAAAGAAGCTGTAAATTAACAATTGTGCGTGATTTTTAAAAATTCTCCACAAATGACTGAGGTGTTTTGATAAACATGTTCTGACCATGGCAGCTCCCAAATGGGCCACCCTTCTGCCTACCATACAAAAAGTGATGTCGTCGATCCCGATTGCTTTGGAAGACTGCAACACGTTGAGAAAAGTCTGAAAACAGAGCTCCCTGTAAGGTTCCTCCAAGTATGGCTGTCCAGGTATGCTAAAAAAGGAAGCAGGTTTTTATTTGTTGCATGTCAAAAACCTTGCATAAAATAAGCTTAAAACTGTTAAAATAAAGGGATCACAAGCAGCTCAAGAGTTTTAGACCAAAAACAGGCAACAGCAGTCACACTGTCTGTAGCTTTAATCAGTTCTTCCTCTGTGCATGAGGCAGGACATTGTGGGCAAGCATACAGAGGAAGAGTTGTTTGTTCTGCTCCACAGTCACACAAGGTGTGGGATTCTTTTAGGTCATGCCATTTGGCCAAGTTGCCCATTCTTGGTTTGCCCCTGGAGGAAGACCCTCGGGGGGGGGGGGCATCCAGTGGGATTTCCTGGTTTAGCTGCCCAGAGAGACACTCATCCTGTTGCTGGGGGAATGTTAAGAGAAGTGGTAGTTCTCATGAAGCTTTTCCTTGGTTTGAATCTACTGGGAGAAGGCTGATAGGAGAAGGCTGCGGTGGTTTGTGTTCACAGTGTTCAACCTTATTTCTCTCACAGTTGGCAGCAACTTCCTGTCGCACAGGTGGGGGCAATGCCAGCTAGTTTGTAGAGTCTATCAACAGGTGTGGGTTTGAGACATCCTGTGATTATTCTACAGTGCTATATTCACCTGCTTCACGTGGACAGACTTGTACCAAACAGGGCAGACATTCTTGGCAGTTGAGTAAGACAAGGCCAGGGCTGCTGTTCTTATTAAAGTTGGGTCTATGCACTATTACTAAGTTTCCATAGGATATTATCGTGTGCAGCTACTTTCTGATTGGTGTCCATGCAGTGTTTCCTAAATGTTAGTCATGTTACCCATACTCTATTCTGCCTTGGTCAAACTACACCTGGAATCGCACTGTGTCCAACTCTGGGTACCGCAACTGAATGGAGATGGTAACTCTAGGCTGGAATGTGTCCAGAGGAGGGCGACTCAAATGATCAAGGTTCCGGAGAACAAGCCCTATGAGGAACAGCTTACAGAGCTGGGCATGTTTAGCCTGCAGAAGAGAAGGCTGAGAGGAGACATGATGAGGGCCATGGATCAAGAGGTGAAGAGAAGTCATAGGGAGGAGGGAGCAGGCTTGTTTTCTGTTGCCCTGGAGACTAGGATGCGGAAAAATGGTTTCACACTACAGCAAAGAAAGGAGATTCCACCTGAACATTAGTAAGAACTTCCTGACTGTGAGAGCTGTTCAGCAGTGGAACTCTCTGCCCCAGAGGGAGTGTGGTGGAGGCTCCTTCTTTGGAGGCTTTTGAACAGAGCCTGGATGGCCATCTGTCGGGGGTGCTTTAAATGTGATTTTCCTGCTCCTTGGCAAAATGGGGTTGGACTGGATGGCCCACAAGATCTCTTCCAACTCTAGGATTCTACTATTCTATCTACATTGCCATATAATGAAGTTATAATTTTTTTGTAGCCCAATACATTCTAAAGCCTAAATTATGGTACACTTCAGGTCCCCAGATAAAGTAGATTACATCATACAGATTGCGTATCTCTTAAGTTCTACTCTCAGAACAAAAATAAGACACAAGACAAATAAATGGACAGAAAAATAGAAGGACAAGTCATACCTGAGGCAGAGGTTAGCCATGCTGTGCACTGCGGCCCTTTTGAGTTCAGTGTCAGTTTGAGCTGCGCTACTGAGCTGAATCAGAAGTCCACCTTTTCCTAGCAAGGCTGGGAGGTACTAGCACAGGATCAAATAAACAAAAACCATCAGCCACACTTGCTACTTGTAATATAAAAAATGAATTTGCATCAACGAACCATTATAAAAGGAGGAATCTTGAAAGCTAGGAGGCTATATGGGGGCAGGGAATAAGTACGAAGCATTTTCCTACTATTAATAATAATAATATATTCACACACACACACATATATCAGCTAATTTTGGCGATAAGGTTTTCAGCCCCTGTTTTTGGGCTGAAAAATGCCTCCCTCAGCTTATAATGGAGTCAAGTTAGGCAACAGAGCCTGGAGGCCATTGTTTGCAATATATGATATATTTCTCTCTCCTCTTCCCTTCCCTTATCAATGTGTTTTCTTTTCCAAATCCTCCCTTACTCACTGGAGGGGGAGAGAAGCCCTTGCAAGCCAGGAATATTTGTTAATCTCTCTTAAAGACATATAGGCATTTTCCTCTGCAAGCCTTTGCAATCCCTATGTACCTATATATTATCTGTATCTATCTATATACATTAATTTTATATATGAATTTTCCCCTCATATGTTTGCAGGTCTTTACAAATCCTATATTCAGATAGTTATCCAGACATTTCCATGAACCTGTATATCTGTATCCATATGTAGCCATTATTGTAATATATGAATGTTCCCCTCACATGTTTGCAAATCTCTGCAAATCCTATATCCGATATATAGATAAATATATAGAGGTACCTTTGCATCTCTCTCTCTCTCTGTGTATATATATATATGTGTGTGTGTGTATAATATGAATTTTCCCCTCACATGTTTGCAAGTCTCTGAAAATCCAATATATAGATATCAATAAATATATAGAGATATCTATATATCTGTTTGTGTTTATGTATATATGTGTATATATATAATTTTTTTACATATTAATTTCCCCCTCACATGTTTGCAAGTCTTTGCAAATTCTATATAGATACAACTTGCTGAACTTGCTTACCAAAAGGTCACAAGTTCGAATCTGGGGAGCGAAGTGAGCTCCCGCTGTTAGCCTCAGATTCTGCCAACCTAGCAGTTTGAAAACATAAAAATGTGAGTAGATTAATAGGTACTGCTCTGGCGGGAAGGTCACGGCACTCCACGCAGTCATGTCAGCCACATGACCTTGGAGGTGTCTACGGACAATGCCGGCTCTTTGGCTTAGAAATGAAGATGAGCACCAACCACCAGAATCAGACACAACTGGACTTAATGTCTGGGGAAAACCTTTACCTTACCTATCTATATATAGAGAGATGGCCAGATAGATATATATGACTTTTGTTCTTTCCCAAATAGAATCATAGAATCAAAGAGTTGGAAGAGACCTCATGGGCCATCCAGTCCAACCCCCTGCCAAGAAGCAGGAACATTGCACTTAAATCACCCCTGACAGATGACCATCCAGCCCCTGTTTAAAAGCTTCCAAAGAAGGAGCCTTCACCACACTCCGGGGCAGAGAGTTCCACTGCTGAACGGCTCTCAGTCAGGAAGTTCTTCCTCATGTTCAGATGGAATCTCCTCTCTTGTAGTTTCCTCTTCAGAGAGGAAAGCTTTTTCCCCCTTTGTTGCAACAGTATACGAAGTATATACAAAATATACAATCTTTAGAGCTTCTTAAACTACTCACAGCAGCAATTCTCTTAACACACCATCATTAACCGCCACACTCTAATTACAGCGGCTTAACTCTTTTACAAGTGGTTAAGCCAGATGTATCAACTCTGCTATCACTTAGAAAATGCCAGGAAATTTCCTCAGATCTCAGGGGGAAATGAATGGATAGGTTTCAACACACATTTTATTCTCCATCTTTAGTATCCAATTACTGTGAAAAGTAATTGGGGAAAAAACAACAACCACAACAGGGCATTTTGTGGGAATGTAGCAAAACATTCTCAAAGATATCCCTACCAACCTTTTGACATTTGGGTCCATTCTTGTAGACAGAAGCTGCCAAAGCTTGCAAGATTTCAACATGTGTCCAAGTGCTGCATTGCTCTAAGGCAGAGATAAAGTAGGGCAGGAGATACTTCAGACTTTCTTCATCCACTATAACCTAAAATTGAATAAAGATAATAGCAATTATGTGGCTGGTAAATAAATAAGGGATTATTCATTGTCTCCAGACCTTTGATCCTTTTAGTCTCCCTCCTCTGGACACCTTCAGCTTAGAGTCAATCTCTCTTCTAAATTGTGAGGCCTAGAATTGGACAGAGTTTGGTTTTTATGACCTGACAGCATGTTGTTCATTTGCTTTGCTCATTCGAATTAAGTTGGTACATCCCGAATAGACTACTGCAACGCACTCTACGTGGGGTTGCCCTTGAAGACGGTTCGGAAACTTCAACTGGTCCAGCGAGCGGTAGCCAGGCTGCTCACCGGGGCGACATACAGAGAGCACACCACCCCCCTGCTGTGTCAGCCCCACTGGCTGCCGGTTCAGTTCCGAGCCCAATTCAAGGTGCTGGTTTTGACCTACAAAACCCTGTACGGTTCCAGTCCAGCGTATCTGTCCGAACGTATCTCCCTCTATGTCCCACCACGGAATTTAAGATCATCTGAGGGGGCCCTGCTCTCGACTCCACCACTTTCCCAAGCGAGGCTGGTGGGGACGAGGAGCAGGGCCTTTTCAGTGGTGGCCCCACACCTGTGGAACTCACTCCCAGTGGATATCAGGGCATCGACATCACTCCTGTCCTTCAGGAGAAAGGTAAAGACGTGGTTGTAGGACCAGGCCTTCGGGCAATCTGCTAACTAGGAAGGACAACCAGACAAATAGGACCGGCAGGACTGATAAATGTGGAAGGAAACTCTGAACTATGAGATAGCGAACATTGACCGGCATTAAGGAGTAATTGGTTTGTATCGGTTTGTATGAAATTTTATTGGTTTTATTGGTTTTAGCGGGTTTAGATGTAATGTATTGTTGTTGTTTGCTAATTTGCATTATTCTGTTTTATTGTTGTTGTATGTTATGGGCATCGAATTGTGCCTTGGATGTGTAAGCCGCCCTGAGTCCCCTTCGGGGTGAGAAGGGCGGGGTAAAAGTAAACCAAATAAATAAAAATAAATAAATATTTGTAGTGGGGATAATAAACCAACAGCACTTTCTCTTGTGGATGCTGTTGTGAAAACCTACACCAGAAGGCAAAGTAATGCAATCTCTTTGCAGACGGAGGGTAGCTTGAGGACAGCAGCCCTCAAATAACATGTATAATTTAGTGAAGCTTTGGGGTTGTCATCTCTTCGGGTACATGAGAGGCGATCGCATCCATGCCTTTGTGCATCTCTCATAGCCAGCGTTCGTCAACAAGCTTGCCTCCATTTCTGAAGTTGATGGAACTCTGTCTCCATCCCTTCCTTCCCTAAGAGCCTGAGCAGTATTCACTTAAGGCATGTTGCTGTCCGAGGCAAAAAGTGGCATCAAACGCTCAAAGCAGCAATAAGAGACAGTCGACACTCATGATGGACAATCAGGAAGTTGCTTTAGCTTGCCTTCCATCAAAATGCCAAATGAAAATGTTGGATTTCAGTTAACTCAATCACCGTATTAACTGATCCACATTTCTTTCTTATAAGAAATGTGTATCTCTTTCTTTTCTCCTTCCATCCTTCCCTCCCGCTTTCTCCCTTCCTCCCACCTTCCGTTCCACCATTTCGTCATTCCTTCCTTACTTCCCTCTTTCCTCCCTCCTTCCCTCTCTCCCTTTCTGTTACCTTCCTTCCTTCCCTTTTGTTATTCCTTCCCTATTTCCTCCCTCTCTCCAATCTCTTCCATCCTTCTCTTCCTCCCTACCTTCCTTCTCTTTTTCCTTCCTCCTTTCCTTCTGAGGGATGTTTAGCTGGGAGGTCTGGGGAGAATTCACCATGATTTATCTCTTGATGTAGGTACTGGGGTGTATAGTTCACCTGCAATCAATGCGCCCTCTGAACTCCAACAAATATGGAATTGGACCCAACTTGGCACACAGAATCCCGGAGCAAAAAATACGGGAGGCCTTTGGAGGAAATTCAGCTTGATTTGGGGGAGTTGACTTACATCCAGCAAGCACTGTGAATCCAAACACCGATGGAACTGGACCAAACTTGGCACGCATACCTGACACTCACAAATTTGAATACTCGAGGAGTATTGGGGAGAACTGACCTTCCTTTTTGGAATTTGCAGTTCACCCAGGGTGGCCTCCACCCATTATAGACCTGGACCTAACTTGGCATGCAGAACCCCCATGACTAACTCAACCTACTGGAGGAGTTTGAGGGAACTGGCTCACCATAGTGGGAGTTGTAGTTTACCTTACAGCCAGAGAGCTCACTGGACCCCACCGATAATGCATCTGGAGCAAACTTGCCCAACATCACAAACTTGAAGTACTGATGAGGGTGGAGTGGTTAGGCCAAAGCTCTGAGAGCTCCTGCCTTTGCTGTGGAGTTCCCCAGGGTGCTATCCTCTCGCCCGTTATTTAACATCTACGTCCGGCCACTTGCTGGACTGGTGCGGAGCTTTGCTACCAGTATGCAGATGATACCCAGCTACTCTTGCGTCTCAAATGTGGGACAACTACAATTCCTGAGAACTTTAAGCTGTGTTTGGAAGCAGTGATGAGTTGGCTGCGAGCAAGCAGACTAAAAGTGAATCCTGCAAAAACTGAGATACTCTGGCCCGGCCAGCCGCCAGAATTAACCCAGTCTCTGCCTGATTTCGATGGGGAAGCTCTGGTTCCGTCTGCCACTGTTAAAAGCCTTGGGGTTGTGTTGGACTCATCGCTGACGATGGAGGCCCAGATCACTGCCATAAGTAAGCAGGCCTTTTTTCATCTTCGCCAGGCAAGGAAATTGGCATCCTACCTTTCGGTCGAAGCATTGGCAACAGTAATCCACGCAACAGTCACCACTAGGTTGGACTATTGCAATGCCTTATATGCCGGCCTTCTGAAGTCAACAACCCAGAAAATTTGGATGGTCCAAAATGCGGCAGCCAGGCTGCTAGCGGGATCATCTATAAGATCCCATATTACACTGATTCTGCAACAACTGCATTGGCTACCAATAGAACATCGGATCTCTTACAAGATACTGATCCTGACATTTAGAGCTCAAAATGGCCAAGGACCTTTATATCTTAGGGACTGCCTCATTCCTTTTCTCCATCAGTGGTCACCTCGATCCACCCAGGAAAATCTCCTATACATACCGGGCCCTAGGGAGGTACACCTGGAAGCTACAAGGCGTAGAGCTTTTTCGACCTATGCTCCAATTCTGTGGAACTCATTGCCTCCATATGTTAGAGCAATGTTGGAGTTACGACCTTTTGTAAAAGGGCTCAAGACTTGGCTCTTTGGTTGTGCATTTAATTAATCAGACCTAATTTGCCAAATAGTCACTGTGGAATGTTTTTATGTTGAATGTTTTTATATTGTGAAATGCTATTTTAAATTGTACGTTTACAGGTTGAGGGTGAATCCAGCAAAGACGGAGATCCTATGGCTGGGTCAACCAGGCAGTGGGGATATCCAGCTGCCTACCATGGATGGCAAGGTGCTACGCCCGTCATCATTGGTAGAGAGTCTGGGAATCCTTTTGGACCCTCTGCTGACGATGGAGGCCCAGGTCTCCACCGTTAGCAGAACCGCCTTTTTTCATCTGCGGCAGGCTAGATGGCTGGCCCCCTCCCTGTCCAGGGGGCCAGCTACGGTGATCCAGGTCACGGTCATCTCAAGACTGGACTACTGTAACGCCCTCTACATTGGCCTTCTTCTGTTGGTGATCCGGAAGCTCAAGCTGGTACAAAACACAGCTGCTCGGCTTCTTGCAGGAACTCTGATGAGATGCCACATAACACCAATCATACTGCAGCTGCATTGGTTACCAATTGAGCACGGGATCACTTTCAAAGTGATGGTACTCACCTTTAAGGCCTTGCATGGTCTGGGGCCGATGTACTGAGGGACCACCTCACCCCCTACCAAGCCCAGAGATCCCTCCGTTATGAGGACCAAAATCTATTGGAAATTCCCAGTGTCAAGACCTTGCGTCTAACAGCAACCAGACGCAGAGCCTTTACAGCAGTGGCACCATCACTCTGGAATACTCTGCCACCTGAAGTCCGTGCCTTGTGGGACTTATCAACTTTCTGCAGGGCATGTAAGACATATCTGTTTTGACGGGCCTTTGATCTTTGATTGCTGTTTTTAAATTGTTTTACATTGTTTTAAAATTGTGTTAGATTTTACCCTGTTCTTGTAAGTCGCTCCGAGCCCCAGGGGAGTGGCGGCATATAAGTTCAAATAATAAATAAATAAATAGGTTGCTCGGAGCACCTTGGTAGAGAGTGACTAATTAAGAAGTGAAGTGATGGAGTTTTTGGGGTGAACCTGGCATGATGTGTGTTGTTGTTCACTCACAACCTTATGCATGTTGGACAATTTAAATGACATTTTCAAATAACCTGGACAACGCTGGGTAGCCCAACTAGTCAATAATATAATAACCCCACTCTATGTGGGGTTGCCTTTGAAGACTGTTCGGAAACTTCAATTAGTCCAGCGGGAGGCAGCCAGATTGCTCACCGGAGCGTCATACAGGGAGCATACCACCCCCCTGTTGTGTCAGCTCCACTGGCTGCCGATCCAGTTCCGAGCACAATTGAAAGTGCTGGTTTTGAGCTACAAAACCCTATACGATTCCGGCCCAGAGTATCTGTCCGAACGCATCTCCCTTTACCTCCCACCTCGGAGTCTGAGATGCTCTGGGGAGGCCCTGCTCTTGACCCTGCCTCTGTCACAAGTGAGATTGGCGGGGACGAGGAGCAGGGCCTTCTCAGTGGTGGCCCCTCACCTATGGAATTCTCTCCCCGGGGAGATCAGATCAGCAACATCCCTCCTTTCATTCAGAAAGAAATTAAAGACGTGGATGTGGGACCAGGCGTTTGGGCACTCTGGCAGATGAATAAGGGACTGTAACGATGGACAAGAGTTGGACAAGGTGGAACGAAATATGAACTCTGAGTTGGTGAACACTGTGTCTGAGATTGGCTATTGATTGTGTGATATATTGTTGTTTTTACTGTTTGTTTTTAACTGTTTTAATTGTTGACCATTTAATTCCTGGTTTTTATATGTTATTGTATTTGTGCAGGCACCAAGATGTGCCTTTTGTAAGCCGCCCTGGGCCCCCCCTTGGGGGTTGAGAAGGGCGGGGTATAAGCACACGAAATAAATAAATAAATAAATAAATAATGATGATGATGAGTTGTCGCTCCCTCGCTCTCGAGCCTGGGCACCCTTTCTTTCCTCACCTGGAATCTGTTCAGCAGCTGATGGATGAGCTGGCAGACCTTGTTGAGGAGATGCTCCTGATTCAGCTGAACCAGCTGACAAGCTTGGACGAACAAGTCGCAAACGCCCTGCCAGGAAGAAGAGAGAGAGATGCCGTGTGGGAAACTGCGCCCTGAGCCCCACCCGCTCCTCTTCCCCGTCGAGCCCCTTCCTCCTCACTTGCGGCCTAAGCTCCGCCGGCGTCGGGGCTCCAGGCCCGCTGCTCTCGGACAAGAGCTGGTCGAAGAGCAGGTGCAGCTCCGTCCGGCGCCCGCTCTCCCCTCCCGGGCATGGGCCGGCCTCCGCAGTCAGCCGCAGGGCCTGGAGCCGGCTTCGGTAGCGCTCCAAAAAAGCCTCGCCCGATGCTAGGCCTCCCTCGACTGTCAAGGCCGCCTCCGCCGCCATTTTGCCCCCCTCCCTTCAACTTTTTTTTCCCGCTCTGGTCGCTTTACTAACTCCAGTCGCGAAGGACGCATGCGCAAGGGCTGGCTCCGCCCTCTATTGCTTCTCGAACGCATGCGCGTCCGTCGTTGCCCTAATGACCTGGGAGGAAAAAATGGCGGGCGAGGCCTTGACAGCGAAGGTAGGCAGGGAATTCTGGAACCCCGGCGCCGCCGGAGCTTAGGCCTTAAGTGAGGAAGAAGAAATGGGAGGGAAGATGAAAGGGATTTATGTCACTTCAATAACTTCTGCCACAAAGGACGCATGCGCAAGGGCGGCCTCCGCCTTCTGTCGCTTCTGCGAATGCAGGGCTACTGCGCATGCGCGTCCCTCGTTGCCACAGTGACCTGAAGCGGGGAAAATGGCGGCCAAAGCCTTGACAACGGAGGGAGGCCTCGGGCCCTGGAACCCCGGCGCCGCCGGAGATTAGGCCTCGAGTGAGGAAGAAAGAAGGGGAAGGGATTTGAAGGAGATGTAGCCTTTGACTGTGTGGATCATAATAAATTGTGGCAAGTTCTTGGTATTTATTTGTCGTGTCAGAACAACCAGTCAAATTATATTACATTTCTAACAGAGCAAAGCAAACAAGCAGATTACAAAATTTTTGAGTATGAGAGTTGATTAAATGTCCTTTCACCAGTATCTGGCCACTTGGTGGGATGGGCATCCCAAGCCCCCTTCCCTCTCTCCTGAGGAATCTGTACAAGGACCAAGGAGCAACAGTCAGAACTGACCACGGAACAACAGACTGGTTCAAGATTGGGAAAGGCGTACGGCAAGGCTGCATCCTCTCACCCAACCTTTTTAACTTGTATGCAGAACACATCATGTGAGGATGTGCGGGGCTGGATGAATGCAAAGCTGGGGTGAAAATTGCTGGAAGAAACATTAACAACCTCAGATATGCAGATGACACCACTCTGATGGCCGAAAGCGAGGAGGAGCTGAGGAGCCTTCTAATCAAGGTGAAAGAAGAAAGCGCAAAAGCCGGGTTGCAGTTAAACATCAAAAAAACCAAGATTATGGCAACAAGAATGATTGACAACTGGGAAATAGAGGGAGAAAATGTGGAGGCCGTGACAGACTTTGTATTTCTAGGTGCAAAGATTACTGCAGATGCAGACTGTGGCCAGGAAATCAGAAGACGCTTACTCCTTGGGAGGAGAGCAATGTCCAATCTCGATAAAATAATAAAGAGTAGAGACATCAGACTGGCAACGAAGATCCATGGTATTCCCTGTAGTGACCTACGGATGTGAGAGCTGGACCTTAGGGAAGGCTGAGCGAAGGAAGATAGATGCTTTTGAGCTGTGGTGTTCGAGGAAAGTTCTGAGAGTGCCTTGGACTGCGACAAGATCCAACCAGTCCATCCTTCAGGAAATAAAGCCCGACTGCTCACTGAGGGAAGGATACTAGAGACAAAGTTGAAGTACTTTGGCCACATCATGAGGAGACAGCAAAGCCTAGAGAAGACAATTATGCTGGGGAAAGTGGAAGGCAAAAGGAAGAGGGGCCGACCAAGGGCAAGATGGATGGATGGCATCCTTGAAGTGACTGGACTGACCTTGAAGGAGCTGGGGGTGGTGACGGCCGACAGGGAGCTCTGGCGTGGGCTGGTCCATGAGGTCACGAAGAGTCGGAGACGACTGAACGAATGAACAACAACCAATTCAATCTCAAGTTTTTATATATATATATATATATATATATATAAATGCTCTGTGCATAATGAGTACCTTAAGAACAAAAGACCCAATGAACGAAATCACACCAAATTTGGCAACAAAATTGTTTCACAACACAAGGAGTGACCATCACTCAAAAAATTATGATTTTTGTCATTTGGGAGTTGTAACTGCTGGGATTTATAGTTTATTTATTTAGAAGTTTTCTATACCAGCCTTCTCACCTCAATAAGGGACTCAGGTCGGTTTACAGCATATATGAAAGTACAATAATATATAAGTACGACAAAGTGCAAAGTCATTACATATTAAAATAGTACAATAAAGTACAATAAAACATTGCCTACAATCAAAGAGCATTCTGAACATCAACGATGGAATTGAACCAAACTTGGCACACAGTTCTCCCATGACCAACAGAAAATACTGGAAGGGTTTGGTGGTTGACCTTGAGTTTTGGAGTTGTAGTTCACCTACATCCAGAGAGCACTCTGGACTCAAACAATGATGGATCTGGACCAAACTTGGCACGAATACTCAATATGCCCAAATATGAGCACAGACGAAGTTTGGGGGCAATAGACCTTGACATTTGCGAGTTGTAGTTACTGGGATTTATAGTTCACCTACAATCAGAGCATTCTGAACCCCACCAACGATGGAATTGGGGCAAACTTCCCACACTGTACCCCCATGACCAACACAAAATACTCAAGGCCATCTAATCCAACTCCCTTCACCAGGTCAAGAAAACATAATCAAAGCCCTCCTGACAAAGAGCCATCCACGCATAGATATAGATAGTTAAGATTTACACACACAGAGGTATAGTATCATAGATTTGAAAGGGACCCTTAAAGAAGGACAATGATATGTTGCATGTTCCAGGGTGGGCAAACCAGACACTCTCCACATCTACACTGACAAAGAAACAGCAAGAAATACTGTTTACCCACAAGCATAAAGAAATTACAACAACACTTTCTCATTACTTTATTTTCCAGATCAACAGACTGGGCCACAGCAACGCGTGGCAGGGGACAGCTAGTACAATATATTACATAATACTAATACTAACCTATACTGGTGAATTATGTATTGTGGAAAAATAATATAGTGCAATATATTAATATAATGTTTTATAGGATTTTAATGGTGTATTTTATATTGTAATTAATAATCTAGTTTTCATATATTTATTTGTTTGCCTTATATATGAAAGACCAATGGTCTAAGCATCGAATAAACCTGGATAGTACAATATAATAATATATAATAATATAATAAGGATATATTATAAACAATATTACTATTAATATTGTAGTATAGTTGTTCAGTTGTCTCCGACTCTTCGTGACCTCATGGACCAGCCCACGCCAGAGCTCCCTGTTGGCTGTCACCACCCCCAGCTCCTTCAAGGTCAGTCCAGTCACTTCAAGGATGCCATCCATCCATCTTGCCCTTGGTTGGCCCCTCTTCCTTTTACCTTCCACTTTCCCCAGCATAATTATCTTCTCTAAGCTTTGCTGTCTCCTCATGATGTGGCCAAAGTACTTCAACTTTGTCTCTAGTATCCTTCCCTCCAATGAGCAGTCGGGCTTTATTTCCTGGAGGATGGACTGGTTGGATCTTCTCGCAGTCCAAGGCACTCTCAGAACTTTCCTCCAACATAGAATAACAGATTTGGCAGAGACCACATCGGCCATCTAGTCCAACCCCCTGCCATGCAGGAAAAGCATAATCAAAGTATCCCTGACAGATAGCACCAGTCCTGATGCCTCATCAAACTACAACTCCCAACAGCACTGACAGTTAAAGTGGAATCCAACTTCATTTACTCAACAGTTTGTAGGAATTAAGCGGCTACCTCCATGTTGGTGTGCCTGTGTCTATTTTTCTCACAAGCTGCTTTGAGGGGTTTTTTAAAGTATTGAAATTGCATAGAAGTGCTTGAATACATAAATAGGAGCCTGAGCCGCATTTCAATGGCATTTCAGTTTTTAAAAATGGAGTACATCCAGCCCAAATTAAACCCTTATGTCTCTATTTCCCCCTTCAGTTTCTCAAGATTGAAGTAGGCACTTCATGTTCCCATTGAAACACAAAGTGCTTCCTTTGGGAAGGATTGTGGCCGCTGGTTGTGAAGCCGACACAGCTGTAAGGCATCAGTTGAGATAAAATACAAATAAAAACTCTTGGATGAGGCATCATGCAGCATTGTGAAAGCAAAATATGGCAGCTGTTTGGCAAATAAATATTTGCAAATCCATTCGACAGACACAGCCTTTTTCTTGCTCTTGCATTAGCGCCATTGACTCTGGGGGTCTAATATGGAGCAGCAAAAGACAAAAAGGGAGAAGACCATTTTGGATAAAAATATTGAATGTAACCCGAGGGTAATTTCAGGCCAAGCAGATGTAAGAGGGATTAAATGGGGAGATTAATCTGAAATTCATGTCAGCTTTGACACCTAAGAAGGGAAGCTTATGCTACACATTTCCAGATTATGAAAGGTATAGGACAGGGGTCCTCAAACTTTTTAAACAGGGGGCCAGGTCACAATCCCTCACACTGTTGGAGGGCTTAATTATAATTTTGAAAAAATCATGAATGAATTCCTATGCACCCTGCACATATCTTATTTGTAGTGCAAAAAAAAACAAACACTTAAAGCAATACAACAATTAAAGAACAATTTAAACAAATATAAACTTAGAATTAAAATCTTAAAAGATGATGCTGTCAAGGTGATGCATGCCATATGCCAGCAAATATGGAAAACACAAGAATGGCCATCAGACTGGAAAAAATCAACTTATATCCCCATACCAAAAAAGGGAAATGCGAAAGACTGCTCAAACTTCCGGACAGTGGCCCTTATTTCTCATGCCAGTAAGGTAATGCTCAAGATCCTGCAAGGAAGACTCCAGCAATACATGGAGCGAGAGTTGCCAGATGTTCAAGCTGGGTTTAGAAAAGGCAGAGGAACGAGAGACCAGATTGCCAATATCCGCTGGATAATGGAAAAAGGCAGGGAGTTTCAGAAAAACATCTATTTCTGCTTCATTGACTACTCTAAAGCCTTTGACTGTGTGGAACATAATACATTGTGGCAAGTTCTTGGTTGGATGGGCATACCAAGCCACCTTGTCTCTCTCCTGAGGAATCTGTACAAGGACCAAGTAGCAACAGTCAGAACTGACCACGGAACAACAGACTGGTTCAAGATTGGGAAAGGCGTACGGCAAGGCTGCATCCTCTCACCCAACCTTTTTAACTTGTATGCAGAACACATCATGCGATGGGCGGGGCTTGATGAATGCAAAGCTGGGGTGAAAATTGCTGGAAGAAACATTAACA